GACCCTAGTGACTATGGCAATCGAGACTAGGCAGAACCGCCGGTCATAAGTGGTGGACCGCCTCTCAGAGTGATTCTCTAAACGCTGCGTGACAGAGTCCCCGAACTTTTAGTCATTCACATGATCTTTCCAACCTTTTTTCCCCACTTTGTTTACATTGACGTCTCCGTAACTCCCCCCGCCCCCCACTCACCCCGCCCGTTTTCTCCCCATCCGCTAGGTACACGGACATCCCAGAGGAAATTGCTAACAAGGTGAAGGCCGCACGCGAGGCCAAGAATAATTCCGTCAAGACAGAGTAACCTTCCATCCCGCGTACCCCTGTTCGTTCGTCCTCTAACCTTTTTGCTGTTTCCATAGGCTTCTGTTGTTTACTGTCATCCTCTGGTACTTCGAATTTCTTGTCCTTCATCTCGTTTCACGCTTTTTGTGGTCTGTTTCTTACCTCATCCCCATGATTATCGGACCCTTTTTGTTTCATTGTCAATCTTGGCGTCCCTCGAATACACCGTAAAACCTTCGTCTAAGATGATGTAACCACTGCTGTGAAGTATACCATGTGACAAGGGTATGCTGTCTGTTATTCCGACGTTCAAATGCGGGAGGGGGGGGGGACGTGGAAATATCGGCTGTTTCACTAACAAACGTCAACATCTAACAACTTGAGACTTCAAGTAGCAACAGTTGTTCAAAGCCTCTTGGAGGCTCTTTAGCATGTCATTTTTTCTGAAAGTCAATTCCCTCTTGTCACGGGATTCAGATCCGAGTTGTCGGTTTCTATCTCTGATGCTATATTCCTGGCCGCCCGAACTAGACGGGGCAGCGGAAAACTGGCATAATGACTGAGACACTCAGCCCATCTCCTCCACCATAACCGCGTGTTCAGCTCCTAGGCCGGACTCATTTACGTCCACTAGAGCATGCATTACAAACAGTCCTGGGTGCCCAAATTATTAGTCCCTATGCCCATCTAACCCGTACAAGCTCCCTTCCACCCGGCGCGTTTAGACATCATGCACACTTTTTAGGTCGTACGCGCGTACGGCAGGATAATAGGTACAATAGGTGGGCTAACTCATGACATGTCAACTGAAATTCCGAAATCTTTTTCGTTTCGAAAAGATTAAGGGAGTAGTATTGCAAAACTAATCAATCTGCAGTACAATTCTGTAATAATTCAGTCACCTCATGATGTCGGCTTTCGAATGAACTTCCTTCCGGCTGCATACGAAAACTATACTCTGCAAAATATGACTGCTTAAATAGCATGAATTTTTCTCTTTAATTTCCGATGCCCCTAAAAGTCCAATTACATCTCATGGAAAACATGCATAAAAATATTCATTCTTTCGCTCATTTGGTGGACAATTACCTCTTCTTCTAATCTTATACTCGAAGGAAGGGTATAATTCGGTTTTTAAAATGTTCCTAATTGTGAGACTTTAATATCATGAAATGACCGTTCATAAAACGTCATGTCTCTGAATTTACCGATGTGGCTTGTAAAGTTAACAATACAGATCAAATCCAAAGCTAGATTTAATGAACACCCTATGGCGTCCTCTTAATACCGTAGAGAAATGTGTGGTTTTCCGTACGCGGAAAATACATGACTTGTAGTTTGGAAATCCTGAATGCAAGTACGACGACAGAGCGGGTTCAAAAGTATTCGGAAATTAGAAAAGTTTTTGAAAACCGGATTATACCCTTTCTTCGAGTATAAAATTGGAAGAAGAGGTAATTGTCTGCCAAATCAGCGAAAGAATGAATATTTTTATGCATGTTTTCCATGAAATGTAATTGGACTTTTAGGGGCGACGGAAATTAAAGAGAGAAATGCATGCTATTTAAGTAGTCATTTTTTACAGAGTGTAGTTTCTGCATGCAGCCGGAAGGAAATTCGTTCGAAAGCCGACATCCTGAGGTGACCGAATTATTATAGAATTATACTGCAGACTGATTAGTTTTACAATACTACTTCATTAATCTGTTCGAAACGAAAACACATTTCGGAATTTCAGTTGACTGTAGAACATCGGCCAGAAGACATGTACGCCAAAAACAGTGTCAGGTAAACTGTCAAATCTTAGAATGGCCATTTTACTGATCAAAGTGACCTGCAGTCTTGCGTAACTAATTGACGAGGCTTTCGTCTGCTTAATCTGTGGTGGTGATAGTAGTAGTGGCGGTGCAGTCCCTCGAGTGTTAACGCCACGGCAAAAGTGTGTAGACGACCGTGTTAAATTTTCAGCAGCAGGAGAACCAGGGTCTGACGATGCCAGACTGCATTCCTCGTGTTACCTCGAGCGTGCCACGCCTCGGAGACAGCATCGTCCGCGGACAACCTATCACGAAGCCGTGAAATGTCCTCTGTATAGGGGGCAATTAATGCGTGACCAACTGTAGGGAGGCCGGCAGGTGGTTACAGATGCACGCTGAAGCAATTGGTGGGGTTGATGGCTCTCGATATAGGTCGCTGATCTGAGGTTATTCCACGGCCGGAGACCACTGGTACCTCTTCCACATTGGGCACCCCATTTGCACCCGCGAAGGCCAATTCTGGGTGGGAATCGCACGAGCGCACTCATCAGATGCGGACGAAGTTACCGAGGGCAGTGCTGGAGACGAGAGAGGTCTCAACAGGGAGCACAGCGGGCGTGACGAGAGCCCCGATGTCTGGCAGGCAGGAACAAGGCGGTAACGGCGCAGCCCGTCGTGTTCCCTAGGCAGGGTGCGTCTGTAGACTGTCTATGCCAGTAAGATGGGTTCTAGGGATTATAAGGCGACAGAGCGTTGAAACCTACTACTACTACTACTACTACTACTACTACTACTACTACTACTACTACTACTACTACTACTACTACTACTACTACTACTACTAACTACTACTGCTACTACTACTACTACTACTACTACGCGCACATACATATGCCTCGGCTTGCCGAAGATCCACGAATATGGTACACAGATTCGTCCAATTCTCGATACGAGGAACTCGCAGTACCGTGGGACAGCAAATTTGTTAATGGCGAAACTTGGGCCTCCGCAGTACCATTGAATTTGTTAACAGCGCGAAAGACCTCGATTCAAACGAAGTTGTTGCTTTCCTTAGGTTTCTCTTTGTACGAACGTACCGGCCACGGAAACGGTCAACTAGCTCTGAGATTTCATTACAATCAATCAGCAAGATTCAGGAGTGCCGGTGAATGCCCTCAAGGAATTGTTATTGAAGCGTTCTCTGAACGTGCAGTTTCTATTTGATAACAGTCTGCGTAGACAAATGGACGGAGTAGTTATGGGCTCGCCCCTTGGCCCGTTTTCGAAGAATATGTTCATGAGCAAGCTAGAACCATTAGAGATCAACGGTCTGAGATACTGTGGGCGCTATGTGAATGATATATTCGCAATTGCACCGAAACAAAATGACGTCTCAGTCCTACTGGATGATAAAAATCAGGCACATCCATCAATAAAAATCACTCTGGAAGAAGAACAGTCCGGTTCACATCCATTTCGGGACGTGCTCCTGAGTAGAAGGCCTGACGGCAGTATTCGACGTAGCGTTTATCATAAGAAGACTTGGTGCGGGGCAATACACCCATTTCGGGCGTTTTGTACCGCTGTTTGACAGAAAGGGCGAGTACAGTCTGCTTGGCTGATAGCATTGAGAAAGAGCTTAAGACTATCGAAAGTCGTTTTCGTCAGAATGGGTAACCTGACAGATTCGTTGGTAAGAACTTGGTCGAAAGACCTCCAGAGCTTCGATTCTGACGGCAGAAAAAAGGCTTTTCATTAGGATTCCATTTTAAGAAGACGACTAGCTCAAACAGTACCACGCACCCATCCAGCAGCTGACGCCCGTATACTCTTCTCCACTAGTCCCATCCTATACGGAGAAGCCAAGGAGAGACTTCTAACACTGACCAGATCTAGCTCTATTTACTCCTTTACTTGCTCCTGTGAGACAGACCATACTGGTAGCCCGAGCCAGCGTTTGTCCAAAAGAATAAAAGAACATTCCTCAGCATGGTTTGGGAAGGGTCAAATAAAGAACATCAATAGCTCCAGACTCGCACACAAGGTAGACACAGACCACCGAGTAGATACCAGAGAGGCCTTCCGAGATCCGTCAAGAGATCCAAAACTACTTGGACAGCGCCTGTTGGCTACGACAGAGGCGGATGCAATCAGGCCATACAAACTTCTCCTATGCGCACAGAAGGACTGCATACAGGTCCCACAGTTGCCATGGCCCAAGGCCATCAGGCCAGCCGCCTCTTCCGGTGCTCACCTTTGCCCTGGCACCGATGGGGATTTTGGTGTTTCATTCTCCCCCCTCCCCTCTTCAAACCTGAGCCACAGCATAATTACCTATATGCCCGTATCTTTTGATTCATTGCTCCGATAGCCCCACAAATGTACGGAATTGGCGAGAATTTATCGAAAGCAGACGTATGCTCTCCAACTTGCCTTTCGAAACTACTTTGTTGGTGGCCATATTTTGGGTTGAGGTTTCACTGCTCTTCCCAGTCTTTTTGGGGCATTTTCTTCATCGGCTGCTAGTTTGTGTGAAACAGTCTGAATGGACTCTAGACACTGAGATCTACGCCAAAACGTAACTGTCAACTTCAGTTCCGCAATCTAGATGGATCAGTAGAGATCACCCTTCACATGACTCAACGATAAAACTGTAGGAGTGTGGGGAGAGCGGCAACTCGTGGGACAGTCTCTTTCCCCAAACTGGCTGGAACTGATCTTGATCTCGAGCAGTCTATTGCCAAAGAACGGACGTACCTTTTCAGATATACAGCCTTACAGTTTATCGCCACTCATCTATTCTCAGGTGCACACCTGGCCACGGATACAGTTCGAATGCACTTGCTGATCTCTTCTAATTGAAATTTCTCGTGCACATATCCCAAAGTCGTGAACTAGACAGTCGACGTCGTACAGCTGGCGTTCAGTCAACAGTCGTATTTTGAGAGTTAAAAAACCCCTTACAATTGGTGTTCGGCAGATTTCATCTTGTCGTAGACTTCGTTAATGCCACAAGAATTTCGACGAGGTGCATCATCATCATCATCATCATCATCATCATCATCATCATCATCATCATCATCATCATCATCATCATCATCATCATCATCATCATCATCATCATCATCATCATCATCATCATCATCATCATCATCATCATCATCATCATCATCATCATCATCATCATCTTCTTCTTCTTCTTCTTCTTCTTCTTCTTCTTCTTCTTCTGTTTCCTTCTTATAAATAATTAGATGGGTAAAATCAGAATAGTCGAAAAACCAGTGTGAAAAACAGCCCTGCAAACAATCGAATTTCATTTGCTTTTCAGCCCCGAGGAGTCAACTCGAAAAGGGAGAGTAAAATGAATTAAAAATGACCTGAAAGCATCTAGACACCGATAAGTAAGGAATTACAAAACAAGGGGTTAATTGGGAGTTTAATCGACTTTACCTAAATGCCGTGGAGGTCAGCCTCATAAGTGAGGTCGAAAGTTACCCCTAAATGCTGTACTGCAGAACAGTTTCAAAAACGTCTGCTAACAGACAGTACCGCCTGCAGAATTCCGAGATAAATAAAGGCCTTTTGGCCGGATTATCCACCAATAGCAAGCATACGACGGAACCAATTTTTCGGATTATCACTTGAACCTATCATCAGAGACAGAGGCAGAAAAGGGGTGACTCGTGCATAGGAAGTTGCAGTATTTATAGGATGCAGTCTCTATGCAACCGCATACCTATCGTAATTAACCGCTCTCCCCTTCATCAAGAATTGTTGCCCTTTGGTGCGCTAATTGCTTGATGGTCGGCATGCAAGTTGTCAATTGCTGAAACCTCATCGCCCGTGCTAGATGCTGGCGTGATGATTGGCCGGCCACCTGGCTCACCGATCCGCGCTCTCCCCGAGGGTTTACTTACTTTGACAAGACTATGTCCCAGCACGGAATATGGAGTGGGGATGCCGTTGCACTTGTTGATAGACTGAGGTTCCCGGAGCCATGACTCAAGCAACTCGCGGCTCACGCACATACCCCCTCTCACGAGAATTTCGGCCTCATCGAACTCGAATGTGTGACCGGGTCTCGTCGAATGGGCCGCGACCTGAGAGTTGGCGTCATTTCTCTGCACCGCGGCTGCGTGTTCGGCAATCCGCGTCCAGAGCACTCTTCCAGTTTCTCCGATGTAGTTGCTTTGCCCGCAATTGCATCAGATCCATTAAACGACTCCAGGTGTTTCTTGCAGTGGCAGTGCATCCTTTTGGCCTTATCACCTGATGCCTTATAGTGGCCTCCGGTCTGTGTGCAATTCCAACCCCGAGTAGTGAGAGAAGGCGACTAACGTCACTTTACTGACATTAGAACTTCGTAAGACTTGAAAACTCTTCCGTCACGGTAGGCGAGCTCTAAACGGTCAAATTCCTCAAACGACGTTCCGATAATCATCTACTCGAGTGTCATGGAGCACATCAAGTGAGTATACGTAGTCCGAAGTAGCGGAATTTACGTCGCATAAAAGCGCCACTGAACTCTAGTTAGTAGCATGTATTGTCGAAATATTTATATCAAAGAAGCGACATGATCTCTCTCTTAACGCGCGATTTTGCTCTTCTGTACAGCTATTGTAATTTCTTAATAGACTTTTCACGAAACAAGCCCTGGCTCTCAAAGTTTACGAACGTATACTGACTTATAACCCTCTGCTGGCATACTTTACGAAAATTATTAAAGTATTTGAGGAAGGGTATCAGACTGTAGTTTATTCATCTACAAAATTTTCAAAACGGTCTAAGAACAAACAGCAATTACTTCCTTTTCCCACAAGTGCTCGAAAACATCACACGCAAAACAACGACACGTAAAATGGGCTACTCAAATAAAACCTTGCAAAATCGCACCCTCACATAAATAAGGACCACTGTCATTTTTTTGAATGGCGAGTCTGACTAGGCCTACTGACAGTTTCTGCTCGTCCCGACGCCTTGTCGCTTTTACCCTCCGCAGTAGTCTCCGGAGCCAAGTCGGTTTCTTGCATGCTACTCTCATCATTCTGGTGAGCCCACGTCCGCTCAATCCCAATCTCATCAGTTTGGGCACCAATGTCTCGCAGCAGAACGAGCTCCTGCTGCACATTCTGCCGTCCATGGCTGCAGACCCAGGACTCCTCCGTCTGGATAGGCACGTCCCGAAAGATCGCCATTTCCGTGAGGTACTGCTGTTTTCCGCGTTTCCTGCGAGGAGGCGGTCTGCGTCGGCGTTTGCCTCTGGCTATCTTGGAGAGCATGAAGC